CGCCCCCACGGTTGAAAGGGCGTGCATGTTTGGTATGCGGATTCGAACCCGCGACCCTCAGATTGTGTGGCGAGCGCCTTATCCACCTGGCCATGCCGGGCCTCGGAACGTTTAATCACTAATATTATATACAGACATTTGTTTGTCCAATGATGAGATTTAATATCATTTTTTAGCATAAATGAAATTCTGCATCACGTGAACATAACTTATTTAAAAGACTACACAATCGACATGCGATGATCTGTTAAAATAAATTCCCAGTTATTATTCATTTAAAATTATTTACGTAAAATGGAATTATTATTTGCACAAGGTTAAGTTCAAATGTTTTTATTATTTTTTGATCGATATTTCCATCGACTCTAACACATCTTTAGCTTTTTATTGATGACATAGTAGGATCCTATTATCACCGGAAATGTAAACATATATTTCATGAAACTCAGCGAATCAAAAGAGTTTTACATGGTATTTCTTGAATCAGAACTAAAGGCATTTAAATGCTTTTTTGTAAAGACTTGTAAGTTGGTTTGGAGAAATATATCGGTATAGAAAAATATTCAGTGGACTTTTCTGAAACATTACTGTATTCGAATGACCAAAATATCAACTTTGTGTTGTCCATGAATTTATTAAGCTTTTATGGCAGGAGTTAAGTTTTGTTGTTTCCTTTAGAAAGGAAAATAACAATCAGAATTTACCTAGAAGTTGTGGACCCGGGAACTAGTCATCACTCTTGGGCTACTCTTTTACCGCCTCACGGAGGGCAAAGATGTTTGGTGGGACGGAGATGCGAACCCGCGAGCCACAGATTGCGAGTCGAGCGCCCTAACCACCTTGCCATGGCATTCCCTCTAGTCTTTAACTGGTAAATTAGGGACGGCTAGCGCAGATAGGTTAGCGCGAAATTAAAAAACAAACAAACAACAAATTCAGCATCTTGTAGGTCTATACCATGTCACGTTTAGACCATTTCGTGACGACGTGTGGGCCAACCTCACACTACATACTTAAATGGGAGGAAGAGACATAATAAACTTACTTAAAAGGGAGAAAGAGACATAATAAAATGGAGTTTTTTTTACAACTATTCAGAGCCGATTATAGGGCAAAGCAAACTAGGGAATCGCTTTCTGCCCCGCCCTTTATGGGGGGGGGGCGCTTGAAATTCAGTAAAATATTCTGAGATATGTGCCATTACCAATTTAAGAGGATATAATTTGACTGTATATGCTCCAGTTAATATGGTAAAGTTTATAAATGCACGATAGCCTAATGGAACAGATACAAGTGGGCTAGCGCCTTTTTGCAAACTGTTGAAGCGCGTGCGCTGATAATGTGACGTCATGTGTTTTCGATCAATTGTTATTTGACTTATACTTTACATTTGGGCCTCGCAAACTATAAGGCCTGCTCTTTAACTATTTGGATATAAACCAGGGATGATCAGAAGAGACCTCCTTGGAAGTAGTTGAAAATTAACATAGGGAGCTATTTAGGCTAAAAAATCTGATTCCTGTTTTAATTGCCCCGTCCTAGTTAAGGTGAATTGTTCGTTCTAAAGAGTATATATTATTATAAATATTGATGAAATTTCAAATGATTCTGCCAGTTTATTATCATTATTACTTTTAATTTATTTTACTTCATTTTGAAGGACACGGAGCCATTTTTTCTAGAATCCAACATTCGCTGGGCTGATGCATTCATTCTGATGTATTCTGTTACTGATAAATGTAGTTTTGATGAGTGCAATCGTCTAAAGTTTCTCATCAATCTCTACAACAAAAGATGCCGCATTCTGGGAACCCCATTATTTCCTGGACACGATACCGAAGTTCCTGTATTATTAGTTGGAAACAAAGCCGACCAGTATGGTGATAGAATGATCTCGAAAGTGGATGGAGAACGTAGAAGTCACGACATAGGTTGTGCGGGATTTCACGAAATTTCTGTGCGAGAGTCTATTGATGACGTAGAGACCGTCTTTAGGGATCTCTACCAGCACTGGAAAACATGGAATAAAACAAGCAAAATGAGGCGTTGTTCCAGTGATGCTGGTTCAGCACAGTCTGTTAAGCGACTTCCAATTGTCAGCAAGACTCCCCTGTTAAGCTTCCAGGAGGAAAAAACCCGCGTAGAACCTCAAGAAAATGTCGCAGAGGCATCAACTAGGTTTTTACAGGAATCTGAACCATACACTTTCAGAGAACGAGCCTGTACTGACGGAACTTTACATACATCAGCTAGATGGCGTCTCAGAACTACTAGGTTTAAGAATGGGGGCAACTCTCCTCTTCAGGTTCGAAGAATGAGTATTAGTATGCGAGGAAGTGAATCAAACTAATAACATATCAGAGTCTGCATTTAACTAACATTTGCTTAATGCAGTCAGACGGCGCTGTTGTGCGATTTAATTTATATTCCTAAATTATTATGGTAATAATTATATTTGTCTTACCTAAATATTATTTGTGTATGAAACGTATTGCTGTATATGTATTGTGATGCGTATACAAAAGTAGTAGCTTTGCTTGTCGCCAGTAATGTAGATTTTGAGAAAAACCTTACTTGTAGTTTTAATTTGTCAATTTTAGCGATTAATGTATCTTAATGACAATTCTTTCAATCAAGGGAAAACGAGCGTTAATGTTGTCTTTGTTTATGAAATTATATGTATATAGAGCTTATAATAAGTGATACAGCTCGTTACTCAAGATTCTGTACAAACAAAATCAAATAAAAACAAAATCTATATATATAACCATAACTGATTGTGAATGTTTCTTACAAGTTATTCCAACCTTGCGTTTCAGTTACATTCACACTTGCACAATTTAATTGGACATAGACAATTGGAGGAATAGGTAAACAGTGTATGAAAGTGTGTTGAACCAAATTACAGTTACGTGTTGATAGTTTACACTGTGATTGGCTTTCGTTAAACTAATCAGACAGTGCCATACCAGCATAATGTCTATAAACGTACAGGTAGTCATACTATTCCCAATACTAGTGTGGTAAATGCACTCGTAGCTCCCAGGACAGATATGTCACATAGTGAAGGTGTATGAATCAAAGGTTTGTTTGGTGAAGATTGTTACTCTGTCTGACAGACAGAGATGACGTTTCATCTTTTACTGAAGAGTTTACCTACGTGAAAATATTATTTTGATAATAGAAACGGTCAAGGAAGAAAACTCAAACTCTTCAAAAGTGGTTACGTTTTAATGATACGCAAAAATTCAGTAAAAATCTTGCCAATGTTTTAGATATAAGTAAATGTATGCATGTCATCTCCACGAAGTGATCTTAATGAACGTACAGCTTGATCATAAAAACACCGATTAGAAGAAATAACCAAACCAAAAGGCTGAAAAGGACATCATAGTTCAAACAACGGGGGTTAAAAGTGGGCGTTATTTACAGAAGAATTACAATCCAAATTGTCTGGCAACAATAATAGTAGTGTTTTCGACCACAGAGAGGAGAGCAGCTCCACGGTCATCATACATTATGTACAATTAAGCATTACAAATGTGAGATGCATGCCAGCCAATGTTATTGGAGATTTACACCAAAAATGATGGCACCCTGACTGCTCATTCTTACCGTAATATTATTTCCTCAAAAACAATATTAAAACAGGATTCCCAGCACGTAGCTTATGTGCTGAAATGATATTTAGAAGTATGAAACACTCGCAACCATGTCTTGGCCTACGCAAAGTCCCAATATGAATATTATCAAGGTTATATAGACTTGTATGGAAACTGAGAAGGTAAAACGGCAACTGAGTTATTTGGCTGATTTATAGAGAGTAATAAAGGACGTTTGGAGCACTATTTAAAACGCATACGTTGATGAACTAACGGTAGCATAAAAGCAAGATGTACTACTCTGTTTAAAGAAAATACAAAATATTATTAACTATTACAGTGTAGAACGTATTCATTTTCCTTGGATATATTTTTATAATAATATAAATTACCATTTAGTTGCTGTTACTCATTGCCATTGACTACTGTACATGTATCACCTATGTGTCTCCATACCTATTTCCAATATTGTAATTGTATAATATTTGTATCATGGTAACTCAAGAAAATACATTTAGTTTGATATAAACGCCATTTTCAATAAAACAAAAACACATAAATATTGGATGTTTAAATGCAAATTTTCATAAATTGGGTAATTCCTGCGATATCTGTGTGAAATTGATTATGATAAAATCTGAAATCAGGTGCAACAACTTGGGTTAATAACTATTTTTAATGTTTGAGTAAGAAAGTGTACAACATACAGCCAATAAAGTATACTTCAAAAATTTCTAATAAGTTTTGTTCTTCTGTACATAATAAGACAATCAAATTATTCAAATGATCTATCATTTGTTTTCTTCCTACAATTGTAAATCCAAATTGACCAAAAAAGAAGTTTTGTAATTTATTAGGGTGTTTTGTTTAGTGATAAAAAAAATAGGAGAAACCAAAGTAACTGATTATCAAGTCCTGTTGAAAAATTTGCGATAAATCTGTATTTGTTTTTTAATATCTACTAATGAGGACGATTTCCCCCGTATGAATAAATTACAAGTAATGTTTCTAAAATTTACATTTATACCGAAAAAGAGTAATATAATAGTCAAAGACAGGAAAACAAGAAATATTTTTTGGGAGCAAAATAAGTTTGCCTCCAAGTGGCTCAGCGGTAAGTCTGAAGGCATATAACACTAATAACCGAGTTTTGATACTCGCGGCGGGCACAGCACAGATAGCCCTTTGTGTAGCTTTGACTTAACGACAACCAAACCACAATAATTTAAAGTAAGGAATACTGACCAATTTATGACCAGAAAAAAAAAAACTAGTCCAGTACATGTGTATGAAAAACCAAAATCATTGAAAATATACGCATATATATATATATCAAATATAATATACATCAAACTATGAAAATTAAAAAGCAAACTACTGCTCTTTCTAATGTTAAAGTACGTTTTGATAATTCATGTTTAAATGTTCGGGAGAAAAAACGTACAAGTACTTTCAAAATTTTTGTTATAAGGTTTGTTTGTTTGTAGTTAAGCACAAAGCTACACAAAGGGCTATCTGTGCTCTGCCCACCACGGGTATCGAAACCCGGTTTCTAGCGTTGTAAGTCCGTAGACACACCGCTGTGCCACTGGAGGGGCTTGTCCTAAGGATGTGAGTTTTAATCAAACCGAGATTTATCACGTGCACTTTTATAAATATACAAATCTCTTAAATCTAATTTTAATTAAACAAAATTATAGACTGAAAGACCCAGGTGCCAAGTGGAAGTCATAGAGGTACTCCAAAAACTATGAATCATTCATTCTTCTTAGAAACTATTTGGAAATGTAAGCAAAAATAATAATTTAACAAAATGCAACCTAAAGGTTCTTCTGTTTGTTTGTTTGTTTGTTTCTAGAAACGGGGAAATTCGTTAACAAAAGAAACACGTAAAATTTGGATAATTAATAGTTATTAGTATTAAATAAAACTAAGAGAATCGGGAAAGAATTAAAGTTTTGATAAATCCTAAATATTATTTTTCCTTTTCCTTTAAATAATGCCATTTATTCTTTATGACAGATAAAATGTAGGAAAAAAAAAAGGATATAAGTGACAAAAGATATCAACAAAGTTGTTCCAAGACAATAACAAGCAATTTAAACGATGTCCTCCAAAGGGACTATAACGCTAAAAAAAGGGGGGTTTCCATAACGACAGTGAGCACAGTAGAGATAGAATATTGTGTAGCTTTGTGTTTAATAACAAACGAGCAGATAAACCATGTAAAACGCTTCAATGAAGGTAGTTCTATTTTCTTTCAGCTCATCTTGTCATATGAAACCTTTTTTGTATTATGTTTTTTAGAATTTCCTTTTCATATTGAAAGCAATTAATATTTTAGCCTGTTCTTTTTTTTTTTTAGCTGGCACGCTCCACTTTCATTAAAGTTAAATATAAACTAATTTACCAAGAAACAAAACGAGTTTTTTAGTTTGAAAATTCTTCGTATAGTCGTTTTATCATTTTAACAGAATTTTTCTTAACAGGTCCTCAATGATTTAGTTGCGGGAAAAAAAATTGTTTGATTATATATATGACCTATCTCCTAAGTCATCATGATTTTATTACATTATCTCATATAATTTATATTTCAGTATACAGTAACACATAAAACATATGCTACGACGTTACAGTGTTCCTAGATGTTTTTTTTTAGAACCTACAAGAGAGAGTGGCTTGAAGAAGGATAATTCATTCACACTGCCAAGATGTTTCAGTTCAAAGTCGGTGAATTTGAATAAATCTATTCGTATTGGAAAGCACAATAAGTTTGAACCATTATCTCGTACTTCATTTGTTATTTTTGATTAAGTTTACTTTTTTACATATAATAGACAAATAAACGCTTATTTGGTTTATAGACATTTAAAATATTAGACCAAAGATAAAAAAGAACAGTTCCTGATGATACCAACTTTGTTTTTATCTTAAAGATCAGTCACTGATTAATGTTGTTGATGATGATGGTGTGCATGTGCATATTAACTTCGTCGCGCTCTTGCAGAAAGATTATGCTAATTGTCTTGAACGAAAAATAATTATATTAATAAATTTTCTATAAAGATGGTTCAGAGTGACGCGCATGACCACGAAACTATGCCTCTGTCTTTCTTATTTTCATAACGTAATCATCATAAGTAGTGTAGTATTTACAGTATGAATGGGCCAGATGTGTAATACAAATTAAAATATCAAACACACTGCAAACAGCATACAAAAAAACTTTATAAGCACTTTACACACCCTGTTGAGTAGTAAACAAACCAAATCCAGAGGAACAAGCCACCAAAGAACTTGAGAAAGTCGATAGAGTAAAATAAAAAAATTCACAAAACCACACATCTGTCAATCTGACTATCTGACTGACCGACGTTGTTGGAAAGGTATAGCTCTCTCCTGCCTTCACCTCATGCAAATCTAAATGCACATGATTGAATTTGTGCTACCTTAGCTAAAAACGTGGAGTGAAAACACGAACGATAAGTTGTATAATTTACCTTTGCATTACTTTCAACCTAACTGTGATTTATTGACATCTGAGATTGTACTTAAAACAGTGCGATTTTTAAGATATGCCTTTCAAGGAAATAAAACGAGAGGATAGGAGAAAAATATTATGTTGATAACCTTAAATTTTGTGTCCAAGCGAAGAGAGCATTACTTTAAGAATAGAGATAAGGTTAGAAACAGTAATGCTAAATATGTGAAACAAACAAGCCTTAGCCATTAATCCAACCAAAGAAAAGTCTGCCACCCTGGCTAGATGGAAGAAAAACTATAGCAAAGGTATCAGCAAAAGCTAGGAAATGTTGAAAGATAGATCTAAGACAAGCTACGAGAAGGATAGGTCTAGAGTCCAGTCACTCTCGAGACTGATTACCAAAGAAAAAGCTAGAGACAAGTGTAAAACATTTTAAATAAAAAATTAGGAAGTAGGAATGGAAGCACCAAAAAGTATGGAAATAAGGTAGAAATAGGCGGGAGAACATTACAACACTATGTGATATTTGACACGATGCAACCTCAAAGTTGATGTGGCCATCGTTCCGCCCATTCCTACTTCATGCT